CAGTCCACTCATCCAGTCCACTCATCCAGTCCACTCATCCAGTCCACTCATCCAGCCCACTCATCCAGTCCACTCATCCAGCCCACTCACCCAGCCCACTCGTCCAGCCCACTCACCCAGCGTACTCATCCAACCCACTCATCCGGCCCTCTCGTCCAGCCCACTCGTCCAGCCCACTCATCCAGCCCACAGGTCCAGCCAAGTCGTCCAGCCCACTCGTCCAGCCCACTCATCCAGCCCCCTCGTGCATCCCACTCATCTAGCCCACTCGTCACTAGCACAGAGTACTTAAAAGTACACTCCCACAGATCACTACCTGTCTCAGTGTCACAACATCCTGGCCAGTAAACATGTGATATCCCAGCCCGAGGATGGCATCATAAGAGCCGAAACCCGAGAGCTCGGCTGCCTTGAGGGGCCCCCTTCAGTTATATTGGATATGGAGGTGTGTGGTTAAGGCCCCCCCCCCCAGCCCCATTTGTCCAGGGAATAAGCCCCCTCTTCCCATGCATCCTCTTCCCTACCCCAACCCTTTCCCCCCAATTATCTATAGATGTTCTATTTTTCTTTTCTTTTTTTACCTTTAAGAAAAAGTATTTGATCATATACTTCTTATCTAATAGTATAATTATTTTCTATTCTACACATAACAACAGTAACAATAGTAATGATTATTGCTACTATTATTACTCGCTTAAACAAGCCCTAAGCTCCTTGACCCATCCCTTTCCACTTCTAGAACATTATCAGGCGTGATATTTCTGTGACGGCGCCACTACATACCATTCACGCTGTAGTAAACGCTCTATTGGAGCGAATCAAATCCCCCAGCAGATTCAAATAAACGGCGCAGCGATCATTGACAAAGCCAGGCGTGACCCTAACAACAGAACATGGGCAAGCCCATTGAACACCTTACTAAAGATCTACACAACCCATAACAAGTGACGTATGCTACCATATAGATCATGCCACATAAGCTGACGTATTCAATGCCGCCATTATACAGGCTCTCTATACTATGCCAATTTGGCTTTTGAAACTAGTTTGGGAATTGGCTGTCAAATCGAGAAACTTTAATGGTGACAGTTCGTCTAGGGTGTGTATCTCTAAAGAGATCGGAGAAACTTGGAGCGTATGTGAACTTAAAGAGCAAGCTGGTTGTTATTTCTGAGTCAGAAGAAGGTAAGTTGGTATATGGAATTATAATTTTAGTGTGTCTTTTTATTCTTCACTTTTTCTGTTATTCTGGTAATCTGGTAATCCTAGTTTCAGCTTCATAGCCATCGGGTCCCCCGATAGTTGCTCCGCTCCTGTGCCAACAAAAAACACACGTAGCTCACAGTGTCACGCCATGCACTCAACTCAGAAGAAGCTGGGCGACTTTTGTTATTACTTCGGGTCTCGAGTGAGGTCTGAGGTTCTGGTTCCTGCTCTTCTGGTAGCCAACATTATCCTGTTGTACAGTTTCTCTGCTGTCATAATTACTCATGTTCTCGGTCTTTCTCGATTTTTGTACCCCCCCCCCCTTTTTTTTTTTCCCCTTTTTCAACATCATCATTAAGTGCCTTGCCGACTGGCCTGGGCAATCATGCCTCTCCACAATCTGCAATCACTTGCAGCATGTATCAGTTCGTGTGCTCACGCAACTCCATGTCTTGCAACTAGACTGTCAAGAATCTTCTCTAGTTGTCTTCCTCTATCCTTCTTTCCACAGATCCTCCCATAGATCTTTCCACAGATCCTTCCATAGATCTTTCCATAGATCTTTCCACAGATCCTTCCATAGATCTTTTCATAGATTTTTCCATAGATCTTTCCATAGATCTTTCCACAGATCCTTCCATAGATCTTTCCATAGATCTTTCCACAGATCCTTCCATAGATCTTTTCATAGATTTTTCCATAGATCTTTCCATAGATCTTTATACAGATCCTTGCATAGATCCTTAAAGAGATCTTTCCACAGATCCTTCCATAGATCTTTCCATAGATCTTTCCATAGATCTTTCCATGGATCTTTCCACAGATCCTTCAATAGATCTTTCCATAGATCTTTCCCCAGATCCTTCCATAGATCCTTCCATAGATCTTTCCACAGATCTTTCCACAGATCCTTAAAAAGATCTTTCCATAGATCTTTCCACAGATCCTTTCATAGATCCTTTCATAGATCTTTCCACAGATCATTCCATAGATCTTTCCACAGATCCTTCCATAGATCTTTCCATAGATCTTTCCACAGATCCTTCCATAGATCCTTCCGTAGATCTGTCCACAGATCCTTCCACAGATCTTTCCATAGATCTTTCCACAGATCCTTCCATAGATCCTTCCATAGATCTTTCCACAGATCCTTCCATAGATCGTTTCACAGATCCTTCCATAGATCTTTCCACAGATCCTTCCATAGATCTTTTCATAGATCTTTCCATAGATCTTTCCATAGATCTTTCCACAGATCCTTCCATAAATACTTCCATAGATCTTTCCATAGATCCTTAAATAGATCTTTCCACAGATCCTTCCATAGATCTTTCCACTGATTCTTCCATAGATCCTTTCATAAATCTTTCCATAGATCCTTCCATAGATCTTTCCATAGATCTTTCCACAGATCCTTCCTTAGATCTTTCCATAGATCCTTTCTTAGATCTTTCCACAGATCCTACCATAGATCTTTCCACAGATAACTTCCATAGATCTTTCCACAGATCCTTCCATAGATCTTTCCACAGATCCTTTCTTAGATCTTTCCACAGATCCTTCCATAGATCTTTCCACAGATCCTTCCATAGATCTTTCCATAGATCCTTCCATAGATTTTTCCATAGATCCTTCCATAGATTTTTCCATAGATCCTTCCATAGATCTTTCCACAAATCCTTCCATAGATCCTTCCATAGATCTTTTCATAGATCCTTCCATAGATCCTTTCATAGATCTTTCCATAGATCCTTCCATAGATCCTTTCATAGATCTTTCCACAAATCCTTCCATAGATCCTTCCATAGATCTTTCCATAGATCTTTCCATAGGTCCTTCCATAGATCTTTCCAGTGATCACATGTTCCAGTATTCCTTTTTTACAAAACATGTCCCCTACCCCCCCCCCCCCCCCCCCTCTCTTCCTTCTCCATCCTCTTGAATGTGTGATGACACAAGGAACCAGGGTTCTCACTGTAAACTTTAACATGAGATACCAGGGTTCTGACAGTAAACTGTGACATGAGATACCAGGGTTCTGACTGTAAACTGTGACATGAGATACCAGGGTTCTGACAGTAAACTGTGACATGAGATACCAGGGTTCTGACTGTAAACTGTAACATCAGATACCAGGGTTCTTACAGTAAACTGTGACATGAGATACCAGGGTTCTTACTGTAAACTGTGACATGAGATACCAGGGTTCTGACTGTAAACTGTAACATCAGATACCAGGGTTCTGACAGTAAACTGTGACATGAGATACCAGGGTTCTCACTGTAAACTGTGACATGAGATACTAGGGTTCTCACTGTAAACTGTGACATGAGATACCAGGGTTCTCACTGTAAACTGTGACACGAAAAACCAGGGTTCTGACTGTAAGCTGTGACACGAAAAACATGTACAAGAAAATTGATTTCAAGTTTCACCACCGACCGATTTCGTGGCTTCAACGATTACAGTGAAATGGCTAATTATTCTATATCGCCTATAATAAAATAATTTTCTATGGTAATTATGTTCTACATAGCCTATAATACAACAACTTTCTATGGCAATTATGTTCTACATCGCCATAATACAATAACTTTCTTTGATAGTTTTGTTCTAAATCGCCTATAATACAATAACTTTCTATGGTAATTATGTTCTAAATCGCCTATAATACAATAACTTTCTATGGTAAAATATTCTACATCGCCTATAATACAATAACTTTACATGGTAATTATGCTCGACATCGCCTATAATACAATAACTTTCTATGATAGTTTTGTTCTAGATCGCCTATAATACAATAACTTTCTATGGTAATTATGTTCTACATCGCCTATAATAACTTTCTACGGTAATTATGTTGTACATTGCCTATAATACAAAAATTTCTAAGGTAATTATGTTCTATATGGCCTATAATACAATAACTTTCTAAGGTAATTATGTTCTATATGGCATATAATACAATAACTTTTTATGGTAATTATGTTCTACATCGCCTATTATACAATAACTTTCTAAGGTAATTATGTTCTATACAATAACTTTTTTTACTGCAATACTTCTCTATGATAATTATATTCTACATTTTGGGGATGCGTTAGCGCAGTCGATTTTTTTTTTTTTTTTTTTAACGTATCCAGAAACCATGAGTTGTAAACCCTTTGGCTCGGTACTATGGATATCGCAACCCTTCGGCCTTGATTCCATTATAGGTACCGTTAATCTGGGAGAAATGTGGCTTTTCTGCCTACCCCCGGGAGTGAACCCGGACCACAAGGAGTTCGTTACCCGGCCGCCGCGAAAGTCAGGTTAAACCAACTTCGCTAGAGAGCCGGGCAGCGCAGTCGATAAGAGGATCGCTTTCAAATCCAGTTGCGACTCGCTGCAGCCAACGGTCGGTGTTCGAAACCGGGCGACTCCCGGGGTTCACCCAGCTTCTAGGAAATGAGCACCAGAGTTGACACTCTGGGGTAAATGGAGGAACGTCGCTGTAGCTACAGAGTTACGTGCGAACGGCGACACAGGCATTCAATTCTTATCAGCTGTCCGTACTGTTGGCATATCACTTATAACCGTGTGCAATGACGCTGGTTCAAATCTCCCGACTTTTCCTTTACCTTTTATGTTCTACATCACCTATAATACGATAACTTTCTATGATAATTATTTTGTACGTCGCCTATGATACAATAACCTTTCCTGATAATTATGTTCTACATCGCCTATAATACAATAACTTTTTTATGGCAATTAACATTCGTTTTTTTTTTTTTTCTAGAACCCAGAGCATGGCATTGACTGGCAGATCTACCGAACCTGTTCATGCAGAACTCGTTCAGGACCTAGTGAGGCTTCCCCAGGATGGACGAAGTCTTGTCCAGTCAGGCACTAGAGTGGTCAACGCCGTCGATCACAGCACTGGAGATCGCGCCAATCAAGGGTTGCCAGCGATTATTGGCGAGATGGCTGCACAAAAGGGGTCAAACAAAGAAGCGCATACAGCTTTCCAAAACGCAGAAGCAATTGTGGTGTACAATAAAAAGGAGAAGAAAGCCAAGGAGAAGAAAGGAAACGTCCGCGAAGAGAAGAAACCAAAAGTCCGCGAAGGGAAACAGGCCGCAGCCGTTGATCAGATACATCAGAACGACCTGCACAACATTGAGCAAGTTAGCGACGTGCAGCAGTCTAAAGAAAGTATGGTCATGCCCAGCGGAATGGTACTAGACCTGCCAGATAAGGCAAAAAACGGCAGTCGCGGGCAGGAAGTTAACGGATCAAAGACCGCGAAAGGGTTAAGTCAAAATTCGGAGCTCGTCACATCCTTTGATCCAATGAAGGACAGACACCAGTGGGCCATGTGGAGGACAGCTGTCAACGGTCGGATTATTGATGAGGTTCGGCGTCTGGAGAAGATGAAGATCGAGATTGGCCCGGCTGGTGTGGATCCTACTATACCCGGGTTGTACGGGACAGCCCTGGTGATGCCTCCGCTAAAGCAGTTTATCAGATTCGATTCAGATGATGATGAAGCTATTGCTAAACAGATGCTGGGGCATGGACCACTTAGCTTGGGCTCATTTCAGTTCGTCTATTTCGGGTTACCCAGGGTGCAGTTGGCTAAAATAACCAAGTAACGTCACCCTACTTTGGCGTCTTCGCATCCTTCTCATTTGCCAGATTGGAAATTAGAAATATGACCACGGCCAGTGATATATTAGTCTTTTTCTTTCTTATGATTTATTATTAGTTCAAACAAAAATAATGCGCACAAATACAAAACAAAAAACATGGCTATAATCATAAGTGAGTGACTGGCATCTTTCTGTATTGTCAGAGCATAGTGTTATCTTGTGTTGTGTGAAGGCACGGGAACAAAGCCCATCGATGGCAAGTTGGTATTAAGGCCGGCCTACATATTTTTTCCTGGCCAGTTTCACAGCGACCAATCGTTGACAAGCATCATGATTTCTCGCTTTGCTTGCTTTGTTTACTTCAAAGGAAATGTAACACCAATACAGTTGGAACAAAGCACTTCCGAGAAGCTGCCAGATCAGCAACAAAAGAATAAGGAACAAGAATATATAAAGAGCAAAAGAAAAAATGGTTTAAACTGTACTCATTCCAACAAATAGAAAGGCGCAAAGCTGCCTGCCAAAACTGGCCGTATTTTGACAACTTCCTGAACATCCAGTGCATGCTCATAAGAACTTACATCTCAAACTTTCAAGTCATTGGCGCGTTTTTTTTTTTTTTTTTCTTAAAGGCTTTGAATGAGTTTAACAATGATATGATCTTCCAGTAATAAAGTTTGATTTCCGTGGCCTAGAAATAAAACATTCCGAGGTGTTCGGCCGATGGTACAAGAGTCGCACAGTGGAAGAAACTGGATTCTCGCCAGATAATATTTCGCCAGACAGCAGCGGGTGTAACGTAGCTTACCTTCATTTCGAAGACAGCAGGTCATTTTGTAATTTGTCGAAAGGTCACGATGTCAGCCAGCACTAGACCACTTTAGTTGTGGAGATATTTGTGGCTAGATTATTGTACTATGTCAAGTGATTATATATATATATATATATATATATATATATATATATATATATATATATATATATATATATATATATAAAACAAACAACAATGCATTGATCGGCATTCATAGAAAGAAGTCCTTTCTATAATTTTCTATATGTAACCTATCGGACCCTTTTAATAGTTTGAGAAGAATTCTGTCCGTATCTCATAGTTGTGGATTTCAAGCTGTACGATAGATATGGCCAATGAAGATCTCTCTTTTTAGGGGTGCGTCACTGGTCATGTTCTTAGTACATTTGCTTCCATAGTGAGGCGTACACTCCATTTGGAGTTGACAGGTTCTTTTCCCGGCATGGTAACTATACTTTCGATTTTTATGTTATCTGGTGTATCCTTCTATCTTTCTACTTTTTTTTTTTCTATGAGCACCCATCAATGCATGATATGCTTGTTTGTTACATAGATAATATTTATATAGCCTTAAAGGATTCCCTCTCTGTTTATCCAAGTGATCTGGCGTGTCCTGGGAAGTGGTTTAGTAACAATGAAATAGGTTGGCCATATTGAAAGACATTAAAACTATCATAGAGGGAACAGTCGACGGCAAGGGAGCAAGAGGCAGACAATGATACCTGTGGGAGGACAACACCAAGAGAGGGACGAACAGCAGTCTGAGAGAGTCTAGCACCAGGACAAGAGACTGAGTGTATTGGAGATCTATAGCAGCCAACCTTAACTGCGGAGACGGGACCTGTTTGATTGACTGATTGCTTGACTAACAGAGTAACGTTTTCTGATATTTCGACAAATGCGACTTGCTGCACGGAGAGCAATATTCCCCTTCTTCTGCCTTCGTCCTGATAAGGGACAGTTAGCACCTCGTATTGTGATTTACAGCTAGGCTGTGATATTTGCTCCTTTCGACCCAATACATCCGATTTCAGCAAAGCCTTAATAGTTCACCTCTTACGGCATACTTGTTAAGGTTGTGATGAATGGTATTCAATGACAACTTGCTGTGATATAAGGGATTTGAGGATAATGTGTTGTGATATATGGGATTTGAGGATAATGTGTTGTGATATAAGGGATTTGAGGACAATGTGTTGTGATATAAAGGATTTGAGGATAATGTGATATAAGGGATTTGAGGGTAATGTGTTGTGATATGAGGGATTTGAGGATAATATGTTGTGATATAAGGGATTTGAGGATAATGTGTTGTGATATAAGGGATTTGAGGATAATATGTTGTGATATATGGGATTTTAGGATAATGTGTTGTGATCTATGGGAATTGAGGATAATGTGTTGTGATATAAGGGATTTTAGGATAATGAGTTGTGATGTAAGGGATTTGAGGATATTGTGTTGTGATATAAGGGATTTTAGGATAATGAGTTGTGATGTAAGGGATTTGAGGATAATATGTTGTGATATAAGGGATTTGAGCATAATATGTTGTGATATATGGGATTTGAGAATAATGTAATGTGATATAAGGGATTTGAAGATAATGTGTTGTGATATAAGGGATTTGAGGATAATGAGTTGTGATATAAGCGATTTGAGGATAATGTGTTGTGATATATGGGATTTTAGAATAATGTGTTGTGATAAATGTGATATAAGGATAGTCAAGGAAAATGTGTTGTGATAAATGTGATATAAGGATAGTCAAGGAAAATGTGTTGTGATAATTAGGATAAAACCATAAGGATAATGAGTTGTGATATAAGCGATTTGAGGATAATGTGTTGTGATATATGGGATTTTAGAATAATGTGTTGTGATAAATGTGATATAAGGATAGTCAAGGAAAATGTGTTGTGATAAATGTGATATAAGGATAGTCAAGGAAAATGTGTTGTGATAATTAGGATAAAACCATAATTTTCGTGGTTTATGGTATTTGAAAAGAATGTGTTGTGGCGTATGAGAAAAATGGTAATAGGATTGGCACGCTTGTCTTTCTTGCACATACTGTTTCTTTCTGTCTCTCTTGTACAGACTCTCTTTCTGTCTCTCTTGTACAGACTCTCTTTCTGTCTCTCTTGTACATACTCTCTTTCTGTCTCACTTGTACAGACTCTCTTTCTGTCTCTCTTGTACACACTGTCTCTTTCTGTCTCTCTTGTACACACTGTCTCCTTTTGTCTCTCTTGTACAGACTTTCTCTTTCTGTCTTTCTTGTACACACTTTCTCTTTCTGTCTCTCTTGTACAGACTCTCTCTTTCTGTCTCATCTATACAGACTCTCTAAGTCTCACTGTATGACTCTCTCTCTCTTTCTGTCTCCCTTGTAATTCTTTTCCTCTCTCTCTCTCTCTCTCTCTCTCTCTCTCTCTCTCTCTCTTTCTCTCTCTCTCTCTCTCTCTCTCTCTCTCTCTCTCTCTCTCTCTCTCTCTCTCTCTCTCTCTCTCTCTTGTACGGATTGTAATAGTAAGACAATATATGTAATATAATAATACAGAAACATTGTTGTCATACATTTTTGTATTATGTTAGCTTCTACTTCTACTACTGCTGCTGCTGCTGCTGCTGCTACTACTACTAAAAGCACTACTTCTCCTCCTACTACTACTACTGCTGCTGCTGCTACTACTACTACTACTACTACTACTACTACTACTACTGCTACTACTACTACTACTGCTGCTGCTGCTACAACAACAACAACTACTACTACTACTACTACTACTACTACTACTACTACTACTACTACTACTACTACTACTACTACTACTACTACTACTACTACTACTACACTACTACTACTACTACTGCTACTACTACTACTACTACTACTACTTCTGCTGCTGCGCTACTACTACAAATTACTACTACTACTACTACTACTACTACTACTACTACTACTACTACTACTACTACTACTACTACTACTGCTGCTGCTACTACTGCTGCTGCTACTACTGCTGCTGCTACTACTACTTCCGCTGCAACTGCTGCTGCTGCTAATACTACAATTTACTACTACTACTAATGCTGCTGCTACTACTGCTGCTGCTACTACTACTGCTGCTGCTACTACTACTGCTGCTGCTACTACTGCTGCTGCTACTACTACTGCTGCTGCTACTACTACTGCTGCTGCTACTACTGCTGCTGCTGCTACTACTACAAATTACTACTAGTACTATTGATTAAAACAAAAAGCCAGCAACGCGCTAATGTAAGCGAAAAGAAACATGGACAGGGGTTCAGGCACCAGAATAACGGAAAACAAAATTTCGGACGCTAACCCGACTGCGTAACCTGGGAGTACATCTTGGGCTGGTGACCCAGTGCCTTTCTTTCGAAGTCAAGATAGAAAAAATAAGTAGCTTTCCGTAGGAACACTCACTTGGGACAGGAGCGCTGAACGGGTGGTCACTTCCATCGTGATAACATGAGATAACTTGAGGTACACCTTTCTCTCGACCTACGACCTATGCAGCTTACGACTATCTGCACTTATGACCCTAAACAAACAAATAAATAAGAACAGTAAAGAAAGAAAGATAACTACATTAGTAGTGTCAAAGAGTTCCCGGAACGGATTCCTAAAGCGCAACAGGGTCTATAACTCATGAAAGTAAACCTTTCTAAAGTCTACCAAGACGGTTTCATGGATATATATATATATATATAATACATATATACATATATATATATATCATAAAGACGGAATGCTATTCTTCTTTGGTGACAAAATATTTTCTTCACGACATTGATATTCTAAGACTGCGTGCAAAAAATCATTGCGTTGTCTGCTACTAGTTACTTCCTGTCCTTTTAAGGACGAAATTTTCATTATTAGAAGCCCTACTCTGGCTCTTGCCAGGGGCCGCAATATAGCCTGGCCATAAATATGACCTAAAGGCTGAACGCGGTTTCTGGGACCTCTCCACGGGGGTCCTCACCCACATGGTGGCACATTGTGTCATCGGGTGTTTATTGCTTGTGTGATGTCCTGGTGGGGTCAGTTAGTCAGTCATCATTGCGATCTAACAGGCAGTTTTCGAGAAAATGACTAGCATGTAGTGTTTATCAATTGTTGAACGAACTATAGATATCCGAGTTTGGTAGGCAGTTATAA